CCCCAACCCCTCCCCCGAGCCACCCAGCCTCTGGGATTGCTGCAGGGGCTAAGGCTGGCTCCAGGGTCCTGTTCTCCCCCCACTCTCCCCCATGCACTCACCACTGCTGGAGAGAAGCAGAGTCGCCTGCCTGGGAGATGGCAGCAGGGGCCTGGCTGCTGCACTATTCTGCTTCCCGCCACGGGTGGGGCTGGGCCGGCCCCCTGCTGTCGGTGCCAGGCCCCTGGTAATTGCCCCAGCTGTCTGAACCGTCCTATGGCTCTGGGCCTAGGGAAAGGAACAGGGCTGGCAAAACAGGACCTGCTACTCCCTCCCCCATCCCTGGCTCTCTGGTCCCACCTCCTTGGCTCCTCCCCAGCTGTGCCCTGAGAGAACCGGCCAAATGGGTCCCTGTGGGCTGCAGCTCTTGGGTTTCCTGTTGCGTGCAAAGCTGGTTGTTCCTCTGCAAGACGCTCCCTCCCCTTCCCCGGATGCCTGGGTCCCTTCCACAGGTCCCATCCCTCCCGGGTGGCTGATGAAAGTGTCTCCCTTTGCATAGCAGGGCTCGTGACGTGGCACCGGGAAGCCAATGTGCCTCTGCTGGGTGTCCCGGCTGTACCTGGTGGTGGGGCAGGGCTGGAGACCCCATCTTCTCCCCCCACCCCAGTTGGGAAAGGGGGCTAAGAATGCTAGGCACTCTACCGTCTGATGGGTGTCTAGCAGAGGGGCTACCCCCAGCTCCATTCCCCTGGCCCAGGGGCTGTGGTGCTGCTTTGCCCGGAGAGCTGACTGTTCTCCCGGCATCCCTGGGAGGAGGGCGGAGTCGGGGGCAGATGAGAGTTTTGCGGGGCCCCCCCTTTGGAGAAAAAACAGAAAAAAGGGGTCCCCCCCATGCCCACTCCTCCAGTAGCCCCACACTGATCATGTGAGCTACCCCCGTCCTCATCCCCTCTCCTAACACCTCCCTCTACACCCCTGCCCTCTCTCTCCTCTGGTGCTGGTCCCTCTCCTGCAGGTGTCTGCCCTTCTGCTTCACCCCCAGAATCCCCTGGCACCTGCACCTTCCCTTACCCCTGCATCCTCCTGGTGCCTCCCCCTTCCCTCATTGCCCCTGCGCCCTTTGCCCTGGTTTTCCCTGATGCCCACCCCCTCCCCACCCTCTGCCCCTGTGCCCTCACACATGCCTTGCTCCATCCCCACCTTCCTCATGCCCGCCCCTCCTTTCAAGCCCTCCCCCCTTTAGCCCTCAATGCCCTTACGCTCTCCTCACCCAGCATCACCCTGTCCCCCTTCCCACTGACACCTCCTCTCCTGCCCTTTTCCCCATTGTCTCCCCTTGGCCCCCTGGCATTTGTCTCTCCTCCCCTTTCTTCTCCTGACCTGCCCCCCTCCACTCAGCACAAGCCCCTTCCTCTGCCATCCACCTTCTGCCTTCCAGTGTGCAGGGCAGCCACGACCCCAGCCCAGGCTCCAGGCCACGTGCCGAACCAAGTGGTGCAACGCTGGGCTGCGTGGTTTTGAAGTCCCGGGCCGTGACGCCACGCCCAGGCGTCTCCCCTCTCAGCTGTTGCACGGCGTTTCAGCACACCGCACATGCACTCCCTCGGCCCCACGTGGCCCGTACTGGCCAGCGCCGGGGAATTTTAAAAGTGCGGGGCTGCGGCGCCCTGCCACAATCCCCCGCCTCCTCCAGCAGCCGCCAGCTGGCCCTTCGGCTGACAGCCCACCGGGAAATTCCCGGTATCCTGCTTGGCCAATCCGTCCCTGGCGCTGGCGCGGGGCCTATTGAAGCGCGGGGCCCAGGACAGCTGCCCCGCTCGCCCTGCCCTATATTCGCCGCTGGGCGGAATCAGTGGGCTTGCTGGAAGCTGGAGCCGTTATGGCTGGCGTGGCCTGGCTTTGTGGCTGGGACGGATGCCTGGCTCCTCGCTAGATCCTGGGAGACAATTGTCTGTCACCCCTGTCTGTGCTCTAGCGAGGCTGGACTGAGGAAGGAAGCCGGCAGGCTGGGGCTTAGGGGAATGGCTGGGGCTGTGGATGGAGCTTAACCCAGGAAGAGCACAGCATGTCCACGTTGGCAGGAGGGGAGGGAGGCCCAGTTCCTCGCCAAGTAAAACGAGTCCCTGCCTTGCCCGCAGCGCTGCCCTCGCTGACTGCAGTTCTCCCTCCCGCAGGATTACAAGAAGCAGATTGAGAAGGCCTGGAAGGATTATGAGACCAAAGTGTAAGTCGCTCCATTGCCGCTGGCAGGAACAGGCTTATCCTCGAAACAACGGGGGTTTGTGTAGGGGCTGCAGCTCGGGAGCTGGCCAGGCCCCTGGCAGCAAAACGAGGTCACCGGGTCTCCTGACTGGCCAGGCTCCTGTGTGCGCTGCTAGTTACTGCCATCCGGGTGCTTGGGCCTGAAAGGAGACTGCAGCACAAGTGCTGGCTTGAGGCTCCTAGCAGGAGGCGCTGTGGAGAATGGTGCAGGAGTCCTTTGCTATATTCCAGGTCCAGTTGCTCCCAGCAGGAGGCGCTGTGGAGAATGGTGCAGGAGTCCTTTGCTATATTCCAGGTCCAGTTGCTCCCAGCAGGAGGCGCTGTGGAGAATGGTGCAGGAGTCCTTTGCTCTATCCCAGGTCCAGTTGCTCCCAGCAGGGGGCGCTGTGGTGCAGGAGTCCTTTGCTATATCCCAGGTCCAGTTGCTCCCAGCAGGGGGCGCTATGGTGCAGGAGCCCTTTGCAATCCCAGGTCCAGCCGTTCCCAGCAGGGGGCGCTGTGGACAATGGTGCTATGCCAGGTCCAGCTGCTTCCAGCAGGGGCCATGGTAGGAGATGAAGCAAGAAGGGCTTTGGGGAGCTACCTGCTATTTCAGTTCAGTTTGGAGGGTGCTGCAGGGGATGGGGCAGGAGACTGCAACACAACCCTTCCCTTCCCAGCTGGAGCTGAGGTTGGGCCAAGAGTGGGCGAGCGGGCTGCATGGTAAGTGTGCAGCAATGCCACTCCCCGTCTGGCTTAGCAGGAGTCCTGGCAGGAGACTGTGCTGGAGCACCAGAGATTGGTCAGTTCATGGCTCTCACTCCCAGATGAGGCACTGTAGAGAATGACCCTGCACCTTGGTGAGGGTCAGACTGGGCAGCTCTCGTGGTTCCTTCTCACCCCCTAGTTCTATGGTTAAGCTGCTCGCTGTGTGGGCGAGTTGGCTGGGGGGAGAGCTCCCAGTTCTGCATGTCCCCACGGATGTCTCCTGGTTGGGTCTTGCCAGCAGAACTAGGCAGTAATTCCAGACTTGGCTTGACGCTGGCCCTCCTGCCTCCCCAGAGCCAAGATGGAGAAGGAGAGGGAGCGAGCCCGGGCAGCGGGAGTCATCCAGGTGGAGCCGTCGCCAGCGGACATCGCCGAGGAGACGCAGAAAGAGCGCCGCATGTTCCAGCTGCAGATGTGCGAGGTGATGGCGCTTTCCGTGCCGGAGCAGCTGCGGGTGCTTTGATCTGGGGAAGGTACACTGAGGCGCTCTGCGCGCCCCGGCGCGTCTGATCGCTGCCTTGTCAGGAAGGGAAGGGTCATTTCAGAGCGGGTGTTGAGATGCCCTGATCACACACGGAGTTTGTGAATCCCAGTGTCCCAGTTCAGTGCCTTACCCAATGATCCCTCTCTTTTTATATTTTAATCCATTGGTGGAATACATTTTGTTATGTGCACCGAGGCATGCGTGGATGAGCACCAGCAGTAGAAACACATGCTGCTGGCAGTTGGCACTGTGGGCATTCTGCTAATCAGCTGGGTGGCACCTGAATCTCTGGGTGGCTGCCCCAGCTGTTTGCTTACAGGGAACGCTGACCTTATCCACTTGGCTCTCCTGCCTTAGCCCTCGCAGGCACTTTCACGCACAAGAGCCTAGTGAGCTGTAGAAAACAAAGCAGATGAAGGAGTAAATGGGCCGCCGGTTACCCTACCCACAGCCGGCCTTGCTCAGATACTTCAGGGACGGAGGTGACAGAAATATGCCGAGGGATCAACTCCTGCCTGTTGGGGGGTGAGGAGCAACGGGGGGCGTAGGCCCGTCTCTCTTAGAGCCAGGGACACTGTCTGCGACAGCCCCTCCGCCCCCAGCGCACAGCCGGCCTGCAGCTCCTGTCTGCTACCCCGGTGCCTTGAGGTGTAGCGGGGCAAGGCAAAATTTGCTCCACCCCAGCGCACTGCCCGGGAAGGGGGGAGCTTGAACTGCCTGGCCCCCGCACGCACTAACCCACTGGCGGCGATGATGGAGGAGGGTCGGGCAGGAGCGGGGAGGAGGCTCCAGCGGCTGGAGGAGGAGCAGGCGAGCTGAGGGATGACAGCGGGAGGGGAGTGGGACTAAATTGGTGCCCCCCTGGGGTGGTGCCTGGGGGCAACTGTCCCCCTCCCCTTGCTATGCCCCCGCCAGTGCCCGCCTTGCCTGTAGCCTGGCCGCTGGCTATCACTTGGGTCTGTCCCCAGGTTCCAGGGAGCGCTGGGAAAACTGGCCAGAGGCAGGCTTCCATCCTCCCTGTGCTGGGACCTCTCTCCGCACACAGCCCATTGGCCTCAGTGCTGGAGCCACAGGCTAGCGAGCCTCACGGCTTCCCGTGGGGCCTGCCCGTCCCGGTGTCCTGCTGTCTCTGCCGGCTCTCAGCTCCAAGGGTCAGGGTCGGCAGCAGGGGAGGGAGGCTTTGTGCTGGGCCCAGTCTCTCCGACCCTCAGAACTTCCTCCTGCTGCCCCCAGTGCGAGGAGTCGGCTTTGACCGTACGCTCTTCAATACCTCCGGTGTGTGGCTGGCGCAGGGTTGGGGAATCTAAGGCTGGATCCAGCCCCCGAAGCTTGGGGCTCCCTCCCAGCATTGGGGAGACAGCTGGTACCCTAGCCCCCCCCTCCGGGAGGTGGAGCCCACAGAATCTGCTAGGCTGGGCCCCCAAAGGCTGCGGTGTGAGGAAAATGTGAGGAGCGTCTTTCTCCGCCGTCGGGGCCCAAGGCAGAGAGGGGGTTTGGGGTTTTGCTTCTCACTTGTGTCCTGTGGGGCAGCGGCCCTGGCCTGAAAAAGGTTCCCCAGCCCTGGGCTGGAGCGTGAATGCAGCCTCTTGCTCTGGGGGCCGAGTGCTGGCCCAGCTTGACTTCCTCCCGTTGCTTTTACCTTGTGAAGCCCAGTGCAAACCGCAAGGGGCCCCGTTTGCTTTGTTCTTCAGCAGGGCCAGTTTAGCGGGGGAGAGGGGAGAAAAATATCTCGCTGGGGCCAGCCCCAGCCCTGATCTCCAGGCCAGGCCTCTCTGGGAAGGTGTTCTGCACAGCAATAGCCGCTGCTGGCCCAGCTTGACTTCCTCCCGTTGCTTTTACCTTGTGAAGCCCAGTGCAAACCGCAAGGGGCCCCGTTTGCTTTGTTCTTCAGCAGGGCCAGTTTAGCGGGGGAGAGGGGAGAAAAATATCTCGCTGGGGCCAGCCCCAGCCCTGATCTCCAGGCCAGGCCTCTCTGGGAAGGTGTTCTGCACAGCAATAGCCGCCGGGCTGTGCCAGTGGTTCCCACGATGGTGCGGAGCGAGTCAGTGCTGCTAACGACTCACCTGCCGTCTCCGGGGCCGCTTGCACAGACGGAGGCCGGATCTGTGCTCACGCTTGCGAAGGCG